GATTCACAATCTGATTGTGGCTAGATGATCACAGCCAAGGTGTTGAAAGAGCCAACACTCTCTTAAGTAGTCCACACACCCTTGGGATGGTTTCCAACAATTGGAAACTTGCTTGCTAGAGCTTGAAGAGATCAAATCTCTTTGTGTATGAACTCAAGAACACCTTCTTGAGTTTGAGAGAGTTTCTGCAACTTCCAAACACTTCCCAAGGTCTGAAAGTTCGAATAATTGAGAGAGAGGTACGTTCCCTAGTTGTTTCCACCAAGAAAAGTCGGAAAAACGCCTAAGGGTCTGATTGTCACTTGGGCCGGAGCTGACCAACTCTTGGTCCGCCAGACCAAGTGAACAAAATGTCGAAAATCTGCTCAGTCAACGTCTTGGTCCAGAGCTGACCAACATTTGGTCAGCTGGACCAAGAACATTTGCCTACCGACATTTCCGATGGAATCTGGTCCGTCGGACCAGACAGATTCGAGGCACCACGCACTGGTCAGCCAGACTGGTCTAGTCTGACGCAACGCGTACAAGTTAGGCTGACTGGTCTGGTCCGCCAGACCAACATTTGGTCAGCTCCGGACCAGACCAGTTTTTCGGCCAATCAGTCCGCCTCTCCTTTGTTCGTCTGGTTCGACTGACCAACACTTGGTCAGCTCTGGACCAGACTCCAAATCCGGAAAAATCCAATTTCGTCCGTTCTATTTCCGTACATACACGTCCATCCCGTATTGTGTGAACCTTTAGGCTCTTCCAAATACAGCAGTAAACCCGAGATCCAATCTCGCTATACAAATCATAAGCGATCTCTACCAAGACATTATGATTACCCGTATCGGAAATAGTTAGATGTGATCTAACCGAAAGCTAGAGATAGTTCTAACGATGATCCTCTTTGTCTCACTATATCATAATCGAACTCATAGTTCGATTTCTTTGTCATATCCCGAGTAGACTGTAAGAGATAGATGATATTCATCTATAGTGCGGCCACACATTTCCATAGTCTCACTCCTACGACGGGCCCAGCGATATCTCTCTTTTGAGAGGGAAAAAGTTCCATTCCATTCCATGATTCGTAATGTACCCCAGCCACGCCTTTATAATCATCCGGTTAAAGACAATGTTTCACGCAGTCAAAGTACATTACTACTCAAGTTGGATACAATAGATATCTCAGATCCGAGGATCTAAAGTGAACCATCATGTGAGATTCAAGTCATGGATTACATCCAATCGACAAGTACCCGTGATCGTGATATGTATCCAATACACATGATCATCACTATGATCATCCATCATGCCTCATGTTAGTTTTAATTCATCATTGCTCCCATAATGACAAACGACATGGATGTCATTATTTATCAAATATGCAAAATAAATAATGAATAAACAATGCATTCATCAAATGAATTCATCATAATACAAAGGTTCTCATATCATACAATCATCATAGATCATCACAACTATCACTCCGGCACACCACGTGATTCCCTTTCGGCTAACAGTCAATACTACATCCCCAGTTCAGCCTCTGAGTTCTGATTCTTCACCGCGGGATCAGCCGGCTACCTCTCTGCTATCCCGGACTCTCAATCTTTGGTGTCTGATGCTCTGGATGTCTTGGCCCCAATTCCTTCCGAGCCACAGAATGTTCCTCCCATTTACACTTAGTCCAAGAACAATATTGTGAAACTAAATCCCAAGTACTTGCTCACGGTCTCGACATCTTCATCCGAAGTGGAACCTTCATCAGTTACGCAAGCCATCAAAGATCCAAGGTGGTGGGTAGCCATGTCCGACGAGTTTCAAGCCCTCACTCAAAACACACTTGGGACCTTGTTTCGAGATCTCATGCGTCAAATATTGTGTGATGTCGATGGGTATTTTCAGATCAAGTGCAAAATGGATGGTTTAGTGGATCGGTACAAAGCTCGACTTGTGGCAAAAGGGTTTTATCAACATCTCGGGGTTGACTATCATAAGACGTTTAGCCCAGTTGTAAAACCAACTACTATTCGGATGATTTTGTCTTGTCGTGTCTCAAAGTTGGCCTCTACGTCAGTTGAATGTTAATAATGTCTTCCTTCAAGGCACTCTAAGTGAGGAAGTTTATATATCTTAACTGCTAGGTTTTGTTGATGTATCAGAACCTCTGGGTATGTGCAAACTTCACAAGTCAATTTACGAGCTAAAACGAGCTCCTCAGGCTTGGTATTCAGAGCTTCATACCTTTCTCACGACGAGTAGTTTTTGGAATTCCATTGTTGATGCATCCTCTTTGTTTACATCACGATTGAGGTGCGACTCTAGGTTCTTGTTTACGTTGATGATCTTGTCGTTACAGGCAATTGTTCGATATGTGTGGGACACTTCATCGAGGATCTTGCCGCACGCTTCTCCATTAAGAACCTTGGTGATCTCTCTTATTTCCTTTGCATTGAAGCATCCCGAACCTATAGAGGACTGCTTCTCAGTAAAAAAAAATACATTGGGGTGATCTTCTCTCTCGAACATGTATGTCGGAGGCTAAACTAGTGTCCTCTCTGATGGTTGCCTCGTCGAGTCTCGTTGTGGTCTTTGATTCTCCTATGTATAATCCTATCTGTTGGATTAGTGCTCTATGATGTACTACTGTATGAGTTTTATTATGATACATTTTATGTATTGACACTTTCTATGGTTTTATGGATGAGTATTTGATTCATTACGTATTGTGCATACTTTAATATGTTATGAAATCCATGTATTGTTATGAACAATATTAAACTCCCTAGTCATATATCATTGTGGGAACAATGATATACTAAGACTAGTATGATGTGTGATTGATGATCATAGGTATTGAATACGATTACAATCATAGGTATTCGTTGGAGAACGGAATACTGGATTGACCCGCGTGAGATTGTCACATGAACTAGCGTCATGACTTGAATCTCATATGACAGTTTCATGATTGGATCCTATGATCTGACATATCTACGGAATCCAACATGAGGAGTTGCGTACTTTGAATATGTCAAACGTCCTGCGTAACAGGAGGATTATAAAGGCGTGTATCAGGTACGACACGAATCATGTGCTGGATTGTAGATAGTCAAGATGAGATTTGTACCTCTCGTAAAAGAGAGAGATATCGTTGGGCCCCTCGTGTGAGTGAGACTGTAGGAATGTGTGGCCGCACTATAGACGAACATCGTCTATCTCGTACAGTCGAACTGAGTGAACGAGAAAGCAGTCGAATCAGATAAGGTGGCTTCTCCATGCCTTATGTTCGACTTATGATATCATGATACAAAAGGATTATCAACCGGAATCATCACTGACGTTCGTAAGATCACGAACAAACTCTATTCGAGATAGTTAGTCATAGTGTCTTGCTAGAGAACCGCCTATGACTTGTATAACCGAAATGGAGATTTCGGGTTATACTGCTATATCGGATGAGTCTACAAGGTCACACACACAGGAAATGACAAATGCGCGAGAAAAGACGAGAATTTTCCAGTGGAGCGGAGGCCAGACCGACCAGTCCAGCCAGCCAAGAACAATCGATCCAGACCTAGACCGGTCAGTCCAGAGGTAATGTGCAAATGTTGTTCGGTATAGAAAATGTTCCAGACCGATCGGTCCAGATGACGAGATTTCCTTATCTCGCCCAAATTAGGGTTTTAAGGGTAAGAAACTTTGGGGAACGTCTGCTAAGCTCTTTGGCACAGTTTCACAGACCTTTTGAGAGGTTTTTGAGATTGAAAAAACAAAAGAAAGATCCCTGAAACCCTTACGCAAAGAAGAACATGTTCTTCAGTCCTAGCAGACGAGTTCCAACCGTTGGAATCCTTTCCACTGTATGGATATGTGTAGAGGGTGAGGTATTCTTCATGTCTTTAGTGATCGAACGAACTATTCGATTGATACAAGCCCCAGATCGATTGAGGTAAGCGTTCTAACATTTCTACAAGATCATGCATGCTAGGTTTTAGGGTTTCATCAAAATTTTTGTTTTACATCCGTTGTGCAACCCCTAGAACCGATCTCTTAGGAATTAGATTCGCTGTAGAGATCTCAGGAATCCCAACACTATCGAGTATCGTGCCTTGGTTGTAGCCTTCAGTACCTATCCCTGACTCATCCCGATATTAGTTTTGTTGTGAACAAAACTTAGTTTATGCAGTCTCCTATAGACGAGCACTAGCATGCGGTCAAGAGGAATCTCTATTATCTTGTTGGCATGCACACTCATGGGATATTCTTCTCGGCTTCGAGCTCATCGGTTTTTCATGCATTTTCAGATGCCGATTGTGTTGGTGACATGTTCGACTTCAAATATACTGGAGATTATCTTGTTTATTTCGGTAGTAACTCGGTATCTTAGTGCTCGAAGAAACAACAAGGCTCGGTCATCTACTGAGGCGGAGTATCGATCCATTGCCTCGATTGCGGTTGAAGTTCGGTGGATCAGCTCTCTCCTCTCAGAACTTGGTTATCTGTTGTCTTCTATTCTGGTTATTTATTGTGATGATATCGATGCGACATATCTTAGCGGAAATTCGTTTTTCACTCTCGCATAAAGCACATTGCATTGGACTACTTCTTTTACCGTGGGCTTTTTTGAAAGTGGTTATCTTCGTGTTACTCACATTTCTAAGGCAGACCAGCTTGACGATGCTCTCACTAAGCCTTTTCGAGTACTCTCTTTCATGAATTATTCATCAAGATTGGAGTCATATTCGGTGCTCCACCTTGAGGGGGCATTTAGAGGGTATATGTATAATATTATATAGTTGTATTAGGTTAAACTCACTTGTATAAATAAAACAATGATGTTAGTATTAATTAAGTCACTTTTCATAATTGTTATAGGAGTGTGACTCAAAACTCAAAGAAGATATCTGAAATTCGGTTTCTTTTTTTTGGTTATAGAATAAAACAAAGCATGTTTTTTTTTTGTCCGGGTTTGCAAAGAAACCAACAGGTAACTATATAAACATCTGAGCGAATTAAACAGGTTGTAAAATGGTATTGTTCTTGAGTTGATAATGGAAACTTTTGCGATGTTTTCGTTGTGATCGATGCATTAGAGGCATCGAATCTCTAGCATCTGACATCAAATGAGTCCGTTTTGGTAAATACAAATTGTCAAGCATAGTATACATATAGTGCAACTCATCTGGGGATGGTCAAGCTCGTAGATAAAGGGCCACTGTTTGATCCGAAGGCTTGACCCTCACGACCTGTCCATGTTTCGACGGCCAAACACTGACTTAGTTGGGCCACCACATGTAACATGCTCGGCCTGTTGTTGCAGGATAGGCTCACACAAGCTGTCGCCAACTCGAGTGCTTTCCAGACAGAACTACTTCTATACTCTCCTTGCAACCTCGGATCCACAATCTCTGCAATGTCCGCTTTCTTCTCTAGCATGCGTTGGATCCACTCGCTAATATGTTCCCCCTCTCTGGTTTGGTCGAGAACCGGTTGGTTTGTGAGCATCTCTAGAAGAACAACTCCAAAACTATACACATCGCTCTTATCAGTTAACCAACTTGTCTTCTGATACCTGCCAAGTAAAACCCGTAAAAAAAACATAATGTGAGAGGAGATTTGGTCACATTAACTACATTTTCTATATAAAAATCCATCATAAATTTTCTGTAATAAACAATACGAAGGTGATGGTTCACAGAGAGTCGCACTTTTGGCATGAACCTTAACACGAAGCCTAAAGAATAGTGAGTTGGCAATGGAATCATTTTGTTGTAGTGAAATTTTTAATAAATGTACTAACTCGGGGTCGATGTAACCGGGTGTCCCAGCAAGATGAGACGAGGTAAGACTTTCGGTTTGAGTTCCACGAGATGTTGCAAGTCCAAAGTTTGCAACTTTAGCCTGGAAATGTTCGCCTAAGACAATGTTTGAAGTCTTTATGTCTCCATGAACCATTGGTGGATCACATCCTTTGTGCAGATACAACAATCCTGTTTTGTTTATTAAAATTAGTTTTGGAATACATATGCCAAAGCCTTCATATATAACGTTTTCTCGAATCAAATACCTTCTGCTGCTTGCATTGCTATTTTCAGCCTGCTCACCCAGCTCAAGGTTTCACCTTCATCTTCTCCTGTGAGTATATATATACCACCGATAATTTTCATATATAATCATCGACTTCCCTTGTTCCAGTTTTATTTTGTCCTAAGATAATGTTAAAGATGTATAAGATGTTTTGATTTATATCATTACCCGACAAATAATGTTTCAAGTCCCCATTAGCCATGTGCTCGTAGATGAGAGCCAAGTCGTCTCCTTCGTTGGAGTAACCGACAAGGTGAACGAGATTCTTGTGGTGGATCCTCAGAAGAAGCTCAACCTAATACCAAATACTCAAAACTCTGAAAATTTAGGGGGGAAAACCCCGCAATGAATTTACCTCTTCGTTAAATTGCTTTAGATCAAGAGATGTCGGATCTGAAAGAATTTCCACCGCAACTTGTTCGGTTTCGTTCAGAAAGCCTTGATAAAGAACACCGAATCTTCCTCTTCCAAGAAGTTTTTCCAAGTTGTTTGTCATCTTTAGGACATCGGAACGAGTGAATCTCCGTTGCGTCTGAATTATTTCCGTCGTTGGTCTTGCACCTATATAAAAGAAACTTGATCTTTTCCAACAAAACCGTTCATTTTTGTAGGTAGAGAAGAGCTCGTGATGGTACATACCTTTTCTGATAGATGATCTCTTTCTGTAGATGATAAAGATTGCCAAAGCAACTGACAAAACAAACACTGAAGCAACCGATGCCACTGTTGGTATAGTAATTCTTCGCGCCTCGGATTTGTTCTGAAGATGTCGGTCCTTGCACACATCCGACCGACAGTAGATATCCGGGTTCCCTTGGATTCTGCGATCATTTCTGAATCGTTATATGCATAAACAATATCCTATTGCCATCCATTGTCGAAGCGAAAAACCTCTTACAGTAGTGACAATGACCCGTTCCTTGCTTTAATGAGGAGGGACCGAGGAACTGAACCACTAAGCTTGTTATTTCTCAAGTCTCTGTTGGGATATGAGAGTGAGTGAATGAAACATCAGAAGCTGAAATTAAAAATATCATAGAGAAAGAAAATATGTTTGATGCATATAGAGCTTTACATGATAGACAACGATGCCATTGAAGCGAGAAACTCGGGGATTCCTCCTCTTAGAGTGTTGTTTGACAAGTCCCTTTCATTTCATCGGAACAAAGAAAAAAATATATCGAATCGGACCGTTGATTTTTAAAGTAGAGTGTGAAATAGAGAAGGACGAAGAAGACTCACAGTTCTTTCAGTCGTGTCAGGTTCTGAATCCACGGAGATATTGTTCCCTCGAGGCCGCTTGAGGATAAATTCCTAGTTTTTCCATTGGGTAACCATGCAACATATTTACATAAAACGTTTTAGAAATGCATATTGTTATATTACAGAGCGATGTCGGTCCATATATATATATATAGGCACTGTTTCATGGCATATATTGGATGCAAAACTTACAAGGAAGTGATTGACGGAGGCTGTTGGGAGGTACAACTGAGACCATCCCACATGAGTTGAAGAGGTGAACAAGGGTCCCCTTCCCAACTCTCCATTCTCAGTCCATAAGTTTTCTTTATCCTCTTCATGGTTTCAACTGAACATTTCATTATGTGTTTTTTAGTGTCCACACACACACACACATATATGTATACACACATACATACCTTCGTTTTGGTCCGTTTCTGGCTGTAGGAACTTCACGAGAGAGTAAACCTCAAAAGCATTGAGAATGGGTAGGCGGGTAGAGGTGGAGGTTTTCCTCAGTACCAACTCACAGTAACCATCCTTACAATAACGTTGAGACACTGTTAAGTTTATTGTCTGAGCATGAAACTTCTCTAGCCTTATCGGTCCATAGAAATGAAATCCGTTCAATTCGATGTCGAATTCTCTTGTCTCGTCGGGTTTTAGCTCTTCGATTTCAGCGAAATACATATAAACTCGAAACTCCTGAGTTGGATCGGCGAGCCTTAAAAAAACACCGAATTTGAGACTCGCATTCTTAGGTGTTGCGGCTGTTTGCATCACCACTTCTGGTGGGTTGTACATTCCAGAAGTGTTGACGTTATGTGTTGTTTTCAAAACATTCCAGATACTTGGAGGTAATAGTGGTGACCAAACACGATCAAATCTATCATTAGGGAACCTGAAAAAACAAAAAGAACAATTCTAATATTCGTAAGAATCTCCAAAGGTACAGATTTGAATCCATGATATATATATATATATATATATATAGGTTTGATCGTCTGGTTAGGACAATCCAACCAGCTCCTTACAGGTTGGTGCTCTACGTCGATATAGGATTTCTCACAATCCATTATGAATAACTTTTTTCATGGTTTTTGTTGGTTCTGTCTCAAGGTTTGACCAAAAAAAAAAAGGCTGGACAAGAAGAAGCCGGTTTAAGCAGTTGTGTTTCAGTTGTTAATTATGTAACTTCACTAGTAACCGCTGTAACTTTTGTATTCCATATGTGTTTCCAGACATTTGTTTTTGGATTGATAACGAGGTATCATGAACGATGTTCAATTATAAAACGACATCTTTAATGCTTATATACTCTGACTAATCTCTCTTCTCATCATTGGATTAGCGCATGAAGCGGTAAAAGACTGATATCAAAAATGATTTCAGTCATAGGATAGGGTTTGTTTAGACATTTTAGGGATAATCGTATATAAATACCTGAACTTTTATAAAATTACTAAATGAATACTTCAACTATAAAATTCTCAAATAAATGCATGAACTTTTCCCTTTGAATTATTTGGAATAATACTAGATGTTCTAGTCAGTTATTATCGTGGGAACGATAATAAATGAAGACTAGTGTGATGTGTATGTATGACGTATTGGATATGTGATACAGTCACAAGTGCACGTTTGGAACGTGTGACTGACTGACCCACATGATGCTCAGTTCATGGTCATGAATTAAACCCGACGTCATTATAATATCTCACTTTTGTCCTTTGACCTGAAGTAACTATTGGTATTCCCCGTAATTTATTTCGTGTCTTGACATAGTCAAACGGTGGTTATAAAGCTTCCATATAAATACGCAGACTTTTAAAAATTTTTCAAATAAAATCAAAATCCATTAAGGTCGTTTAATTTATAACGGTATCCGATAAAAATTGATGATTCAGTCGATTAACGTCGTCAAATTTTTAAAAGTTTGGATATTTATATGGAAGTTTTGAAAAGCTCAAATATTTATTTGGGAATTTTATAGTTCAGATATTTATTTAGAAATTTCGTAAAAGTTCAAGTATTTATATACGATTATCCCGACAATTTATTTATGTTATGGTTGAATAAATGAATGTGTGTGCGTACATTGTTTTTAGAGAAAACCTCCGTTCATGTTCATTTATTTTTAAATCAAAACAGTGTTCTTATTTTTCTCTTGTCTTTCAAAGGTTAGAATGCAGTGGAGATTCACTCTTTCAGATGGATTTGAGGAACAACAGTTTCGGTCCATCTTTATGGCTATTTAATTTTTTTGGATAAATGGCCAAAAAAATCATATACTTTCATTTTGTCTCAATTTAAACACTATATTTATTTTTTATCCTAAAAAATCTTATACAATTAGATTATCTTAAAAAAATTTTATATACTTTGTATATTATGTCAATTTAAATCCTATATTCATTTTTTATCCTAAACAAACTTGTGCAACTAGATTATCTCCATAAAATTCTTGTACTTTGTATATATAGATCAAAATAGCACCATCATAAAAATTGATATATGGTCATATATAATATCACAAAAATTAATCTTACTTATGATAAAAAAGAGTCATTCAATAACATTGATATGACATAATATGTATAATTTTGACAGTGTTATTTTGACCTACAAAATATTTTTTAGAGAAAATCTAATTGTACAGATTTTTTTTGATAAAAAATAAGTACATGATTGAAATGACCATAATATATAAAGTATATGAATTTTTTGGAGGATTTTTCAGAGATAATATTTTTGGGAGAATAAGTAAATGATTTAAATAGCCATAATATGCAATGTGTCGATAACTATCATTTTTTATCATACGTAAGATTATTTTTTGTGATATTATGTATGAACATCTATCGATTTTTATGATGGTGTTATTTTGGTTCATATGTACAAAGTACGTGAATTTTGTGGAGATAATCTAATTGTAAAGAGTTTTTTAGGACAAAAAATGAGTATATGATTTAAATTGTCAAGATATGTAAAGTATAAGTATTTTTGGAGAGAATCTAATTGTACAAAGTTTTTAGGATAAAAAATAAGTATTAATTAAGATTTAATTAATATAAAATGAAAGTATAGGATTTAATATGCAGAGTATAGTATATTCCTCCACTAGATGTGATACGAACTGAGTTGGTCCATTATTTACTTTTTTTCCGGATTGATTCAATGAACCTTCGTTCCAAACCCTGAGACAGAAGACAGCTTTGATGCAATTAAATTGCATCATTTCTCCTCACGGTCTCTCGGACATCGGAGATGGGAAGGGCCTTATCCTTTTCAATTGGTTATACCATTCCACCAGCTCCGATTGGGTGACTAATCTAAATTTCGGATATCTCCAAATGTATTCTATTTCATTTTGTATAAAATCTCTATTTTTTTATAAAAATATATATAATTTACATTTCGTAAGATAAGAAATGTAAAATACCTTATGAGATTGTTGCCGAAATGAAACCGGTTTAAGGTCACCAAAGACACGTTGGGGCTGTCGGTGTCGTAAACATCGTTGCTTAGCGGTCGTAGCTGCAAGGACGAGATGAATGGCGTAGTGGTTCCTGTCTTAACAAGGCATACTTGCAGAACGTTCGATGTCGAGACATGAACGATCTGTTTACTCCGGGCAACACTAACTCCTGTTTCTTCCATATCCACAGTATCCCATTTGTTTGGTCCGATGTGCAGATCGAATGTCGGCTTCTCGTTCCGGTTGTCGTAGTTTCCGTACAGAAACTTTGCCCCGACCATGTACTTCCTTCCTCTCGTGACATCCAGATCGTAACAGTTCCGTCTTCCTCGTGGAAAGCTTCTGAGAAACGTCGCCTGAGTGGTCGTCCTGCTCTCTCCGCTGTCGATGAACGCAGCGTCTGAAATCACTGTTACATTCGTCGTTGGATCTGTGTAAGTGTAGTTCTCTGGCGTCATACCACATATCAACGTCAAGAACCCTGTTCTTCCGCGGGAAAAAAGGCATATACAACCCATTAATATTTTTCACAAAAAAAGATTATAAATGATTCCACAAAAAAAAAACCCGGATTAAGGATTCAGGGGCATGTGTGGAAACCTTCTTGGGACTGTGCATGAGCAGCAACGCATCCGAGGGACAGAAGGAGAAGTAGATGAATCTTCATGTTCGGACAGCGTCTGTATGTTATTCAATGCTCGTATTATACTTATGTACGGAGGGAGAGAGAGTTTACTAACTTTTTTTTGGAAAAAAAAAAGGCTAAATAATTGCATATTTTAATCAAATGAATTAATACGTAAACGCGAGCCAAAATTAGATTCTTCAATCGGTAAAATTGAAATGTAAAACGACTGTCCTCAAATTTAAACCTCAAATCTAGGGAGAAATCCAATAATCCAAATCATATGACTGATTTTTTATACCAAAATTTATCTGGATTTTAGTTCAAGATATTCGGTTATCCAAAAAAAACTTTCAATAGAATCTGAGTCAGGACTTTATCACGAATCAGGATGATAACCAATTCAATTTACGAATGTTTCAAATCAAGACCAGATTTTAAGAGAATTTAATAAATCTGAATTTGTAGCTTATGTATTTGGAATAAAACCCGAATGATTGGCGAATGGAGAGATTAATAGATTTTAAATAGCATTAATACGATTAACCAAAGGTACCAACTAATATCGACATGGTTTGTAAGATTTTGCAAAGGACAACAACAACAACAATTATTGGCCTTTCCTCCAAGTCGATGCCGTTGACTTCGTTATCCAACTGTGGGCCCGTTGACCGACTTATGATTCGTCTCCTAGTGGTTTGAGAGTGAAGACTGGGTTAACTACAAATAATGTAAGAAGGAATGCCAAATCCCGTCTGCATCTTATCTACAATCACCGAATGTGTGATGCTCACCTTCGCCACGTGGACGATCCTTTAGACAATATTACATTTCTTGAGTTAAGACGTTGGGTTTTTTTATTTTTATTTTAAATTAAATGCAGATTATTTTTTTTGATGATTTCCCCAATTGAATGTTGGATGTGTTTACTTACTGTTCACCATTTCCAATAACTTTTGAAGTCTTCTAGCACTTTTCATATTCTTTTCCAAACCTTGGGAGGTTTTATTTTCATTTTCTAACATCAATAACAAAAGTTTTCAAAACAACAAAAAACAAATATTTTTAATTTTGTGATTCAAACTTATCCTTAAATTTGATGGGTAGGAGTTTAAATAAATAATAAATACTCATACGTACCCGGTAAGACGACGACTTCAATCTGATATGATAATCATGTCTTCAACCTATCAAAATACGTATGAAACAGTAGGGAACCGGATATGACTTCAAGGCGTGATACACTTTCCTAAAAGCGTTATTCCATCCCTACCGGGTAAATGGATTACATGAATACACTTTTGAGATACAATGAAGCGACAATGATTTCGGTTTACCCTTCCGACAATCATTAAACAGAACCTTATTTAACCGAAAACGAAAAGACCCTTGCGACAGTTTTTCTGCAGAAAAACTATCCGCAAGAACACTCAAATCTCTCATAAAATCACTTGGATCTTATCACAAATTCGTGTTTTTTATCTTATTCTTCGTGTTATATGGTCTCTAGTGTATTTATAAACACCAAAACGCCGAAAAGACATGAAAACTCAGAAGTTTTGGTCGTTCGGTCGCAACTTTTCGTTCAAACGGATGCTCAGAAAAAACGGGCTACCCGCACGTTTATTAGAGCTACCGCCCGTTTATTCGAGCTTTATCCCTCAGAAAAAACAGACCGCCCGCCCATATTTTCGAGCTCCCCTCCCATATTTTCTGAGATCATTTTTCTATTTACCTTGACACTTTTATATGGCCATGTGTCCATATCCCCTTCATGAATGCACAAATGCCAAACCTTAAAGCATTTTTGAACGGCCAAACTTCGCATTCATATAGGTAGATCTTTTAACAAAAATCATGTCGTGCAACTCGACACTTTTTCAAAAGATCTATTAAGGAAAACCTCCAACCTCCTTTACGTTGCATTCTAAGCACCGACCTTGGGATGATTTTTATTTGCGTGCTTTCAATCGCAAGATAAAAGGTTTAACTCTTTGAACTCAAGCTCTAACGTTGTATTAGATGTTGAGTAGAGATCATTTTATTTGTAATCAACAATAAGGTTTTATTTCCACCCCTAAACTATTTTGTGCAACATAACATTGACATATTCCGTCAACCTTTTCCTTTGCACAAAATAACTGACATACAAACATTTTTCCACATAGCTATGATTTAACATGTATGTCTTTTCATCATTGTACAATATATACATACCATTTCCAAAGATCTTATTCTTTGCGATTAACTTATAGAAATAAAAACTTTCTTTTTTCGAAAGTCTTCAACATTATAGTTTAGACCAAACTATAATATACTTTCATTTTTCAAACCGAAAAACGTCTTTACAATCGCAATCGAAGAAAGATCTACCGTCGATTTTTCAACCAACAAGACATAAGACAATATAAAGTTTTCTCTTTATGTCCAAAACACCATGTTCGATATATTTCCAATATCTTCAACTTGAACCGTTGAAATCTGATATCCACCGATCATAAACATGATCAGTTTTCTATCCACAGATTTAACCGAAATTTTGAGTACACTTTACAAGTATTTCCGCTTCATTATCACCATGAAGTCATAGATCCCAAATAACGCTTTTAGATAAATTGTACGAGTTTAAATAAATAATAAATACTCATACGTATCCGGTAAGACGACGACTTCAATCTGATCTGATAATCCTGTCTTCAACCTATCAAAATACGTATGAAACAGTAGGGAACCGGATATGACTTCAAGGCGTGATACACTTTCCTAAAAGCGTTATTCCATCCCTACCGGGTAAATGGATTACAGGTATACACTTTTGAGATACAATGAAGCGATAATGATTTCGGTTTACCCTTCCGACAATCATCAAACATAACCTTGTTTAACCGAAAACGAAAAGACCCTTGCGATAGTTTTTCTGCAGGAAAACTATCCGCAAGAACACTCAAATCTCTCATAAAATCACTTGGATCTTATCATAAATTCGTGTTTTTTATCTTATTCTTCGTGTTATATGGTCTCTAGTGTGTTTATAAACACCAAAACGCCGAAAAGACATGAAAACTCGGAAGTTTTCGTCGTTCAGGCCGCCCGTCCATATTTTCGAGCTGCCCTCTCATTTTTTCTGAGATCATTTTTCACGTTCTAAACCAAACGTAACCTTTTCCGACGAATCATAACACTTTAAACCAATTCACGACACGTCTTTTACAAGTATTTTACTCCTCCACCATACTCGTAATACACGTGCATCATGAATCCCATGAAAGATTAAAATCAATCAACCGTTTACTCTAAAATACCAACATGATGAAGTGTCAAAGTTTGAAATACCATTGTTCCGATTAAACACATCCGTTCTAACTTCTGAACAAGTTATATTCAATCGTAGATATCAAATATAAAATAGTTTTTTTTTAAAGAGGTACGGTTTACCGTAAGTTTGGATATAATTTTTGTTTTTAAATTCAAGTTATGTTAATATAATAATATTATTTTGTTAATAACTTTCTATATCATTATCAGAATTGTACATAGATATATGTGAATTTGTAAATATTTTATTATATTTTATTATTTTTAATTATGTTTAAGATAATTATATTATTTTTTAATATATATATATATATATATTTGTATATATATGTATTACATATATATTGTATATATTATTTTAATTTTATTATTTTGATATATTTATAATCTTATTTTATTTTTAAAATTATGTTTATTTTTTATTAATTTTTTATCTGATGTGAAAAGAAATCAGATGACGTGGTATAAAATCAGCACACGTCATTCATTACATCATATCATTCGTCAATTGATTTAATGATATTTAACGTGGATGAGTTTGTTTTATCAAAATTTAAAAGTTTAGTATTTTTTATCAACGAGTAATTCATTTTTATTTTAGAAATCTAAAAAAATCGATATTAATTTGTTAGTAACACTCGAATGGTGCATTATAAAAAATACCTTCCATTTGCTATTTTGACTTCAAGACATACATTTCTTCAACTGTGACCCTGTGATCCATGTGACCCCAAATATAATCTTGGTCACATTGGTTATAACGTTAAATTTATGATGACCACACCCATTCATTATATTCATATCTTATATATCTCACTAATCATTTGATAAAAATATTAAAAGTTTAATGTTATGACCAATGTGACCAAAATTATATTTCGGGTCACATGGGTCATAGGATCAAAACTTAAGAAGGATATGTCTTGAAGTCAAAATAGTAAATGGAGGGTATTTTTTATATAATGCCTACTCGAATGTTGAATAATTTTTTTGGAATTTTTCCTTTTGTTTTTCGTCTCTCGTTGTATAATGCGCTGATTAAAAAAATATAAATTAAAAAAACTTTTGAATGTCTATTTATACGGCTATATATTATCCTAAAATTATTTAATAAACAGGACTCATAAAATGCGTTGGTTCATGAAAACCTCGAGAAACATTGAGTTGGACGACAAGATTGAAAATGGCCGCCGAAACAGCACAAAGTATGTATGTCAAGATTTACCATATTTGGTGTACCTTTCCTTTTTCCAACACACACACACACATATATATATATATATATGTATAATATTAAAACAAAATGAACTCACATTAATTAGAAAAGGGTTGGAGTATTTTGCACAACGGTTGTAGACCACCGATGGTTCATACTTCATATTAGAGGAAGATTTTCAGGCAAAAGTGATCGGCTATCAGATCGTTGAAATCATTCGGATCCGAGAGCAACGCACACACATCATCGCTCATTGCGGTTCCGAGTCAAATCTCTCTTATAATCTACCCGTTTGATGCCTAAATGGAAATCATCAACGTGGTTTCGATTCGTTTTTATGTATAGGTATCGAATGACGGGATGGATGAAAGAGAAGAACGATGTGTATAGTTTCGTGTTGACGAGTAAAAGGAACCGCAAGAACATTTGCACGTGGGAGGATAACTTTGCATGCATGTTACATAAATATATTGACCAAGAATGTAAAATCCAATTAGACGATGGAACGAAGATTGCAACACGTTAAAGGAAAGCTCTAGGACTTGCCATATCACTCAAAGAGCCATGAGGTGATTGGAAGAA